TATTATACCTGAACAGCGTCTTATTCCGGGGTTGGAGTGACAACGCCTGTAGCGCCTCCTTGGGAGCAGCTACATGCTGCATTTTGGGAAAACTGATATAGTTGATTTTACTGAAGAGGTGGAACACATTGGACATTTTATGAATTGAGTGATGCTGTACGAGCTCTGGTGGAGCTGAAAAAAGCAAAAACAATCCTCATTATCTTACTTGTTTTCACCAGCAGTAACTATATCTAAACGGTGAAAGAATTACCTCATTCTAGTGCAATTTAAGGATAGAATGTGAACACTAGTGTTTTGCATTCATATTCAGACCCAAATTGCCTTCAGAAGTCACCTAGCTAGTAAATTTCTTTAACTAGCTTTGCTGCAGAGGCCCACAGATCCTCTTGGTGTCTGGAAACGTCCTGGCTGCAGCACAGCAGCAACTCCAGCTGCAAACCAAAGTATTAAAACTTATTTAGGCCTCAAAGTCTTCAGAAGAGGTTTGGGGAGGTTATTAAAGTTACCAAATGAGGTTTCTAAAGCACATGCCTCTACTTTGAAAGGTTTTTCATCGTCACTTTCCTAAAATAATGGCCTAAGTCATCGCTTGCCAAAAAAACAACTTTTGTCAAGAAATGACTTTGGCCAATATTTTTGCAAAGGTGACAATATGTATTTGTGTCCTGTAAACAAATCAGAGTATTTTAGTTGACTGCGGATGATTTTCAGCTTTTCAAGTAATTTTTAACCTAAATTATAGACTTCTAAGATCTGTTCTTCTAAAACTATTATTGCATTCTCCAAAGACGACTTCAGGCTCCCTTGGGACTCACAAAGCCTTGACCCACAATAGTAGCATTTATAAATATTAATCATTAGGAATATTAGCACATTATCAGAGAAACAATGGCTGTGAGTTTGTGAGACGGCCAAACTTTCCATGAGAAGGATACAAAGAAAAACATTTCAGAGTTTCACGGCATGCCTCAGTGACTCTGTAAGAAACACCCCCACACACCCACTTTTTTCCCCTTTGGCATCAGGAACACTGAGAGCCCTGGGAGAATCTGGAGACGGATCGGGTGGGAAAGCACGAGAGCAGAGCTTGTATGGTAGAGCTGGTCGGCCAGCCTGCAGAATGCAGAAATCGACTTCTGAGCAGATGCAGTAATTCCATTTCCACCCTTTTAAATTTGGTATGCAGGGGGCCAGCGCGTAACCCTAAACCCACCGTCCCCGTCGCACACAGAAGGCAGGAGGCGTAGTCGACAGTTGGTGGCTGGGGCCACCGAGTCTATCAGGCTTGTTAATCAATACGGGTTCCAGTCCGACAGACAGCGATTGGTGTAACTGATGCTCTTTCTGAGTCGGCCATGATGGGAGGTGCTTCACCTGCTTCTTATGACTTTCACCTGAATCCTGTGACTCAGCTGGACTAAAAGATACAAAACATTTCTGCATGTACTGGTGTATTCTTCATGGTTAAGCATCTCCAGATAAACTGGATTAAAAACTGTGTATGTTCTGAAGCACCGAGTTGCAATTCCGAGAACTCAGACCAGACATTGTCTTTGCTGTTTTGCTTAAACTGCCTCCTTCGTCATGCAACAGCATCCATGTCAAACTTTTAGTACACTTTATCTGTTTTATTCTGTTTTTCTTCTTTGCTTATTTTAAGTCAAGTTTATTTGTAAAACACATTTCATTATCAATGTGCAAAAAAATATATATATCATGTGGTTGTCAATGATGAAACAAGAAGTAAATATTACTTTTGTCAAATGCCATAATCAAAATGTTTCCGCTGCAGTTTCTTGGAAGTTTCTTCCAGATTCGCATAAAAGCTGAATGCTGCTTCTCCATGTTTGCTTCTGGTTCTGGTTCTGGATGCAGAGCAGACCAGAACCAAAAGGTCTGGACGGTTGGTCCAACAGCAATATCTTACCACGTCTTCATCCCACTGGGAGAGCTTTTTCTCATGATCCTCTCATGACTTCTCATGCAACAAGAGAATCCACAAGGATTCAGATTGTAACGTTTACGTGAGCTGAGCTTCGACAGACTCGGCTTAATGAAAGTTTGAGAGGGTGATGAAGAATGCCGATCAGGATCGGGAAGGAAGTTGGCTCGGCTTCTTGCACCAACAGCTGCAAACTAAAATCCTGGAAAGCTCTGTTTGCATTTCTAGTTTCAGTAGCAGTTGGAAGAAGCACTGCTACTTTAAAAAGTTTCTGTCTTTCAGTTTTTTGTTGTAAAAATTGTCTGAGATACTAAACTGACACTTCTTCTATATATTGAAAGCATTTTAAACCCAATATGTTTACACAAGTGCAGCCGCAGTAGAATTTGGATGCAGTTCTAAGACTTTACTGTGGATTTCTGCTGATTATTTAGAGGTAACCAGACCAAACAACTAATGGGACAGGAAGAAGATTGTTTGTTTAATTTATGTTTTTTTCCCCCCAACAAAAATCTTCAAGGTTTGAGACATTCCTGTCCCTTGGACACCAACAGGAGAACATTTTTGCAGCTGAAGAGGCAACAAGAGAACTCATAATGAGACACTTCTGTCCTGACTATGAACCCCCACTGTCACTATTGCAATCTACATCAGACATGAATGAAATCATCTAATGTCTGATTTCCATTGAGAGATTTAATGGTCACATTTTTAAGGCCAGGCTTGAGGAAGCCAACGATCCGATTTGCTGATATCTTGCAGAGAACTTCCAAACTTTTGATTCATACTTTTCCCAGACTCAATTTTCTGCAGTCCTCTGTCCCATTTAAGCCATTTTTAGTGCAAACTGCATAATTTCCTGTTATTTTTAGTTGATATTTCCATAGTGGGTGGTACATCCATTTCTTGACATAAATCAATAAATTCACAAGATATTTCCCCGTCCATCTTTCATAAAGATTGAAGGTTTTTCATTTCTGACCAAAACCTTTTTACAAATATCCATCATGGGAAGAGTGACATTTTTGAAAGTCAAGAGGTTATCTTGAATCTTGAGTTTGTCTTTTTCCGTTACCCATACGTCTTGTATGATTAACGAAAAAAGACAAAAAAGACAAACCCAAACGGAGCGAAAACAGGCATCCTTCTCCAAATGCTGGAGTTTGGGGACTAATTAGTTCTGATAAAACCTGTGGATTGGAAACATTCTGCCTGTCTACCAAACTGTCTCAGCTCCATTTGAAGCTGTTAAATCCAATAATAAGTGTGAATGACTTTAATTAGTGCAATCACAATGCTGTATCTGCCTATGTTAGCTTATTTCCTTTGGGCTGAGCTCTGAAACTGTTTACACACACACATGCGCACACACACAGAGTTCTGTTTGTTAGGCTGTTGGTGTGACGTGGTAATCGCCGACCCAGCATGCACTGAGTAAAACGTTGGCAGCAGCATTAAGACAAACACCCCCCCTCTCTTTAGAGCAAGTCGACCCCCTGCTGTGGGCTAACAAGCCCGTAGTAACCTCGCTTCACACACACACACACTCACACACACATTCTCTGTTTATTCCAGCTTCAGACAAGCAGCCATACACATGAGCATGTAGACACATTGTCTCATTCTTTCACACATACATCCAACTCCAAGGCTACATGTACATTTTCACATTGTCAGGCATCCAAAGGAGGCAGGAAGTCTCTGCCTCCCCTGGAGGGCGAGTGACGGACAGCATCATTGTTCCCTTGCGGTTTTCAAAACCACTTACTGACAGACGATGAATAAATTGGCTTCTGTCAAACTTATCGGCAAATTAAAGCTCGAGGGGGTTGGTGGCTGCAGAAAAAATTAGCTTGCAAATGTTTGCTGGTCGGCGAAAGGCAAAGGGGTTGGTTAGTCCAGCTGCTTTTAAACAATGAACGAAATCACACCCTGCTCTGGGAGATTCACAGTGAAATATCTGCATATTCCCACAACGTTTTCAGATTTTACGCCACCAAGTTCAGACTTCCCACTGCTCCTCTAGGCTGCTTCTCTGATGAATGCTTTTACTGCCTGATCTGTCAGGTTTATTGGTCTTCATGGTTTTAGTTTTGCGGTTTCGTGAGATGTTTAGACCTTAGGACATTGTTTTATAACCCTGCTTTAAACCACCCTGTCTGCTATGTTCCTTGGGTTTCATGATGCTGTTTGTTCACTAATGTTCTCTAACAAATCTAGAAGGTTTCACAGAACAGCTGGATTCATACTGCTGGATTAAATTAGACACAGGTGAACTCTATTGGCTGCATTGGATTTTATTTAGCAGAGTCACAGCAGAGAGGGAAAATTTTGTCAAATTTAAACATAAAATCCAGAAGAAAAAAAACATGTATCCTTTTCCCTCCACTTCACAAGTGATCACATTTATTCAAATCTGTTGAAGTTTGTGGTTGGAATGTGAATAAACTCAACCATTAAATTATTGTATGTTGATTGTGTATCAAAATATAAACGACAAATGAAAGAAAAAGTACAAGTTTTTTTTTCTTGTAAATATCTTTACAGATTTTTATTTTTTATGTATTTTTTGGACAGTTTGTTTACAGCGCTGGTTGTGAACGATGTGAACTGCCTTCATGTGTCTGTTTTGTTTAATACATGAATGCTGCTCTGTTGGTTCTGTTGACCTGAAAAGCTCCATCAGTTGACCTGTTAGTTCACCAGCAACAATCGGGATGCCAAACTGCATTCCTTCATAATGTATCTATTGTAACCCGCAAAGCTCTTCCCAAACAATCACCACACACACACACACACACACACACACACACACACACACACACACACACACACACACACACACAGAAAGAGAGACAGAGAGAGTTTTGCGTCGTGTCAACTAGGACAAAGTGATCATAACCCTTTCTTTCCTCCAGGGTGAATGTTTTGAGCAAACACCTACAGAAGGAACTCCTGATTGATTTGAACTCCTTTCCTGTCCCTCCGGAGGGAGTGTCCTCCTTCTCCTCATATAAAATGCAGCCCGCCTGTCAGCCACAGAGCATGCATGCACAGACACGGCGAGCACTGACACAAAGGAGAGCGAGGAGGCAGGCAGGATCTCCGGATTACGCGACAGCAACGTTTTCCTTCTGGGTTTATGTGGACTGAAAAGTGACACTGACTTCCTGAGATTTAGTATGAATTTGGCAGACTTCCTGGGTTAACCGGACTCCCTCACAGAGCGCAAGTTTTCTGCCAGTTTTGTCCTGGACTGATTGCGCACAAAAGGCAGAGATGGAGGTGCGCGTCCCGGGTTGGTGCGTCCTGTTTGTCCTCATCCTGCACTCAACGCGCTGCAAGGCGGCCAAGGAGCTCCAGTGCCAGGAGATATCCGTCCCTCTGTGCAAAGGAATCGGGTACAACTACACCTACATGCCCAACCAGTTCAACCACGACACCCAGGACGAAGCCGGGCTGGAGGTGCACCAGTTCTGGCCTCTGGTGGAGATAAAGTGCTCCCCGGACCTGCGCTTCTTCCTCTGCAGCATGTACACGCCGATCTGTCTGGAAGATTATAAGAAGCCGCTGCCGCCGTGCAGGAGCGTGTGTGAGCGGGCCAAGGCTGGCTGCGCGCCGCTCATGAGCCAGTACGGCTTCCCCTGGCCGGACCGGATGAGGTGCGACCTGCTGCCCGAGCAGGGTGACCAGGACACTCTGTGCATGGACTACAACCGGAGCCAGACCACCACCGCATCTCCCGTGCTGGCCAAGCCGACCAACCGGCCTCTGAAGCCGTACAACAAGAAGAAGAGCGGCTACGGTCGAGGCTTCCCTGGAAAACACAAACCTGCCGCGTCTCCCTGCGAGACGGGCTGCTTCTGCCGCGCGCCCATGGTGCCCGTCACCGCGGAGGGCCACCCGCTGCACAACCGCGTCAAGACCGGACAGATCACCAACTGCGCCATGCCGTGCCACAACCCCTACTTCACCCAGGAGGAACGGACGTTCACGGCGTTCTGGATCGGATTGTGGTCCGTCCTCTGCTTCATCTCAACTTTTGCAACAGTGGCAACTTTCCTCATAGACATGGAGAGGTTCAAGTACCCGGAGCGGCCCATCATCTTCCTCTCTGCCTGCTACATGTTCGTGTCGGTGGGATATATCGTCAGGCTGATCGCCGGACACGAAGAAGTGGCTTGCAACAGGGAGAGCGGCGCAGAGCACATCCACTATGAGACCACTGGTCCTGCGCTCTGCACCATCGTCTTCCTGCTCATCTACTTCTTCGGCATGGCCAGCTCCATCTGGTGGGTGATCCTGTCCCTCACCTGGTTCCTGGCGGCAGGTATGAAGTGGGGGAACGAAGCGATCGCCAGCTACTCTCAGTACTTCCACCTGGCCGCCTGGCTCATCCCCAGCCTCAAGTCCATAACGGTTCTGGCGCTCAGCTCTGTGGACGGGGACTCCGTGGCTGGGATCTGCTACGTGGGGAACCAGAACCTGGATAACCTGCGGGGCTTTGTGCTTGCCCCGCTGGTCATCTACCTCTTCATCGGCACCATGTTCCTTCTGGCCGGGTTCGTCTCCCTTTTCCGCATTCGGAGCGTTATAAAGCAAGGCGGAACCAAGACTGACAAACTGGAGCGCCTTATGATCCGCATTGGCGTTTTCACGGTTCTTTACACCGTCCCGGCCACTGTCATAGTGGCATGCTACTTTTACGAGCAGCACCACAGGCAAACGTGGGAAATTACGCATAACTGCACGTGCGTAACGGACCGCAGCAGGCAGAGGCCGGACTATGCCGTGTTCATGCTGAAGTACTTCATGTGTCTCCTGGTGGGGATCACCTCGGGGGCCTGGATTTGGTCAGGAAAGACGCTCGAGTCCTGGCGGACTTTTTGCACGCGCTGCTGCTGGGGGAGCAAAGCGTCCGCGGGCTCCATGTACAGCGACGTGAGTACCGGACTGACCTGGAGGTCCGGGACGGCCAGCTCAGTGTCCTGCCCCAAACAGATGCCTCTGTCCCGGGTCTGAGCGGAGGCTGCCGAGGGACGCCTGAAACTGTAAAAAACAAAACAAAAAAAAAAAAAAAACACTCTTTGGAATATCTTTATTCAATAAATTATTAAAAACTGAGACTCCAAGATGACGGATTGGCCCTTATGTTTCTAAAAAAGTTCTGAGCTGAGTTCCTTTGCCTTATCCAAATGACGTACGGGTTTAACTTTGGGGGCGGGAGGTCTGACTGATTGTGTTGGGATTGTCCATCAGCGTGTTGTCATTAGCACATTAATGAGCGCCTAATGGCTTCTCTTTAAACAACGAGCCTGTCAGCAGCAGCAGCAGCAGCAGAACAATGTACCTGCCCTGAAGAATGCAGAGTCTTATCTGGGATTAAATGAATGCAGAGCCGGCCAGAGGCATAAGCAGAGTAAGCAGGGTGTAAAGTATAAACTTCAAAACAATTCTACAGTTTGTTAATTGTGAATTTAACAGTTCAGTTTGGGTTGGATAAATTGTCACATCTTCAGTTGATTGATTTTATGTTGACAGTCAGAAACAATCTCTCTACCTCTGCATGCAGCTGATGACGTTGCTGTTTTCCACAGGACTGATCCATGTTTGCATCAGATCCTTCAGCACTGCCGAATGACTTTTCTTTTTCCTTTTTTCTTTGCATTCTGCATTAAATGCAGCCGTTTTGCGGTTAAGCAACGAGCCAGCAGTTAATTAAATTCATGTGTTTTATTATGTGATGTACCCGTCTGCAAAGACCGAATCAAAATCCCATCAGATAAAAATCTCATTTATGTTACAACGTCAAATTTGGATAAAGTAAAATAAGAAGCTGTTCAGACACTTGAATGCTAAAAATCATCTGTCGGCCAGGAGTGTTTTGGGTTTTCTTTTTGCAGAAACAAACCGGTTCATCAGCAGCCTTGGAAACAATGGACTTTAATGTTTTACCAGTTCTGCATTATTTCTCCATCGTGAGAGTGAAATGGTTAAATGTGCATTTACCAAGCTGCTCAATGAAAACACCGACAGTCGGCAAAAATGATTAACTCAACTTGAAACTATGAGCGCTAACAAAACTTTCTGGCTATAAAGGTTTTCTTTAAGCTGCCACATTTGTCAACATGTCCACTACTGGTTATTCCTCAGGCCTGCCCTGGCTGTGTGGTAAACCTGGGGCTCTTCTTCTTCTTCCTACTGTGAAGAACCGCTGTGTCTTAAACATCCACAATGAGAGCGCTCGGCTTGAAGCGAGCCCACAGCCGAGCTGCCACTCTCCATCCATTCTCCATCCATTCAATGCCTTAAAACTGCCTCATACGGGTTGCATCAGCACGTATAGAGTGTATTTATATAATTATTGCTGTACATACTTTGTATAGTTGTATATGTAATTTCACAAGACTGTAAATATGTATAATTCCCACTTTGATAGAAAACTTTATTTTGAAAATAAAAAGGATTTTAATGGATCTTTTTACTTGTGCTTTGTTGTAAAAAGATTGATTTGTTTTAATTTGTAAATAGTCTTTATTTGATTATAATAACTGCAGGTGGTTCTTAAATACATATTTACTATTAATTCTTCACCTGTTTCCCATTCAAAAAGACATTTTGGAGTAAAATGATCTCATACCTTTTTCCATGTTTCACACAGGTGTACAAATACTAGTGGGACATATTTCTTGCTGTCCAGATTTAATTGCTTTTGGTGAAACGAAAGCTTCCAAAAATAAAGAAACTTACATTTTTGCTTATTTAAGGATGCATTAGGAAGACGATTAAATGACTCCAAATAGGATATATCATTTACATTGTTGCCCTTTGAGCCTCAGGCTTCTAATTAAGATGTCAGACCAGAGGGACGGGCTTGTAACCGGCCGACTGACTCCCTCTGTGGTGTATGGAAAGGTAATTATGGCCCCATCAGTGTGTGGTCCGTTAGTCTTGTGCAGGAAAAGACTGTCAGTCAGAGGTGCTTTGAGGTTTGGAGACGTTTTGTGTCCAAGTGCACATCAGGTCTCACAGTGAAGAAAATAAAGTTTTCAGATTAACTCAAAAGGAAAGACAGTGGGAAGGCTTAATGGAGCAACATAAATAAATCTAATGAGGTTGAAACTTTTTATTCAACTTATGCTGCCACCTTGTGGTGCAACTGTAAGAAACTGAAGTGTATTTTCAGTATTTAGGAAAAGCTGAAGGTGGAAAAAAAATTGCATGCTGACATGTTTAATTCGGATCTGTTTCTATCATTTCAGTTTCAAACAAACCCATACTGTTAAGAGGTTGAAAACATAAACATTTATTTAAAAATAATTGTTGTTTTTATTAGATTACATTCAATCCAAGTCTTTAATTTAATTTTAGTCAAATCAAATGTTCCCATTAAAACCAATGAAGCGTTCTGCAGTGCCTTGCTAAAGGCTTTAACTGGTTTAATTGGGTATCTACAGATTTAATGTTGAAAGAAAATGATGAATGATTTTCTCCTTTTTTAAAACCAAGAACCTGGAGTTTCATTCCTACATAAATCCCTGTCTCAAAATGAACACTCTGATGAAGGCATCAGAGATTTGTCACAGATCATAAGCAGTTATGCTTGCCATAAATGATAAACTGTAAAACTGCTCATCACACTCTCCTCTGTAAAACATGGTCTCAGCAGGATGATGCTGTGGGAATGTTTTACTTTGGCAGAGACAGGAAAGGTGGAAGATGGATGGATCTGCATACTCGGCCTGTTGGACGTTGAAAAAGACTTGAGACTGGGGTGAAAGTTCACCTTCCAGACCAACAACAAACATGTCATTGCCTTAAATCAAACCATATTAATGTGTAAGAATTATTGCTCCGGTGCTCCTACTGCAATGCAGCTTTTATTACAGCAAAAAGTTTTCCTAAAGGAATGAACTCAGACAGCCTGAATGCCGATGCACACCACACTTTTCAGAGCTTTTGCTTGTTAAATAAACTTACATTTGTCAATTGCAATTACACTTAATTCCAACAAAATACATTCAAAGTTGTGATTGCAATTTTTAAAAAGCTGTCAAAAACCTCAAGCTGTTACATATTTTAGTAATAAGAATATATTTTATAAGACACAGTAGAGGAGACCATGAAGGTATTTGAAATCACTGAAAAAGTCTGTTTTTGTGATCCTGTTCATCTTCCTTAATTTATCATGAACCTGAAGCGGGTTGGACCTTCCAATGAGAACAAATTGCTCTGTCCGCGCTTGTTAAACTCGAGGCATGCTGCTTTCTTTTCCGGCGTTGCACATGTGTGTGCCATTCTCTTGTGGCAGCGACTTGAGCATGTTTCTTCAAGCCCCCCACCCGTCTAAAAGAAATCCACAGAGGAAACAGGTTGAGAGGTCACGCCTGATCCATCTCCTTCCAACATAAACAAAGCGTTGACTTGTCAGCTCGTCCTGCACGGCTCCTGTTGGTGAGACCCAGAGAATCCAGCTCCTTCTTCATTAGCTCCAATTAGGCTGTTTATGAATGAAGTCTCTGTGTAATGATCTAATTAGATGTCCTACAGTGATTAGTTCACAATAAATCATGTTAACATGTCTGAATGGCCATTAAAGGTCGCATAGCTACTGAGATGTTACAATTTCACAGAGTATACAAAGCTGGGTGGGAAGTCTTCAGCTTTCACGGACTGCTACTGTCACGTCACGGCTGATTTACAACACAGTTTAACTTAAACAGACCTAAGTGAGAGGTCCTGCCATGACAGAAGATCTTTGCTTGTTTGTGCCTGAAGGCATGAAGGGATGAGCCAGAAGAAAAATGCATTATTAGGAATTATTAAATCAACGTTACGTGTGCAAAATGTACTGATATAGAATGCATTTTCTTTAATTCAACCTCATTCAAAATGTTTTATTTTATTAAAATCTCAAGCTGTTGATCTTTTTTAGAAATAAGATAAATGATTAAATGATGCAGGCCAATAAAAATAGAAAGAATCGGAGCAAATCTCACTTTTTCACAAAGAAAAGGATTTAAAACAAAGTGTTACAGTATGTCTGTGTGTAAGTTAAAACACTTAAAGTTTTTATTCTCCATTTCTGAGATGCTTAGTAAGAAAACAATAAAATAAACGCAACAGAGTAAATATAACTCACCAATCACTTTAACTCACCAGGCAGCAGAAAATGACTGATCAATATCCTGCATGGGGCAACAAGCTATTAACCCTGTTTAGCAGCTAGCGCCACCAAGAGGTGGACAAGTATAACTTCACATGTCAGGGGAGGAATGGTGACATTTTCACTGTAAAACAAAACTGTTTTTTCATGTTTTTGTTTTAGATTTACCTTTTGCATCAAGCTTAAGCGTTTTGTTAGATTATAAATGTCTCCCATTGGACGAAAAGAAGTTGTTTGATATTATAATATTGCTGGTTGAGTCCTGCACTAAAAACCACCTGCCTGATGCTTTCCGGGTGGAAAGTATAAATATAATTCACTGAGAAGAATCCAGATTTCATGTAGTTCTCCTTGTACCTAGAAATAAAAAGTTAAGACTTTCTGTATCTCCAAGGCTTCCCAGATACGCACGCTGTGCCAAATGTCCTGATTAGACATATGCAACAGCTTATATTTGTCATAACTGTTTCAAAAGTAGTTCATTGTGGAGTTTAGTTTTCCCTCAGGTACAGAAAAGGAAAAACCCACAAGTTCTGTTTAAATAATCTCTATTTATCTCTTCAAGTATAATCAAATTTAGCATCATTAGCCAAACAGTCCCTAAAGGGAAACTCTTCGATCTCAGTTAACACAATAACTGAAAACTATTCAGTATTCATCAGCACAACGCTCCTCAATTACTCTGCTGGTCCCACTGCTACTCCTCCATCCTGAACATCAAGGGAAGACAAAATGGATTTCATCCTGTGAGCTGTAAGCTCCAGGGACCACCCAGACCCCCATCCGGCCGTTCTTCCCACCTCTCAGCCTCGGAGGTGAGGAGCTTGCTGTGGGATCGATACTCTGGATGCCTTTGACATCTTCTCTGATGTGCTGCTGGTTGCTGATGTTCTCTTTCCTTTCAGTTTTTCTAATGTCCGTCGCATGACATCAGAGAGCGCTGCTGCACCAAAAGATGATGCAGGTTGGATTACCTCCAGCTGGGAGGAAGATTGATGTATTGACGTCCAGAACATAACTCACAAATGAAGCTCTCAGTTTTAGAGTTGGATATCTGACATGTCGGGATTTTTTAAAATATATAACTTATTTTTGTCATCATTCACCAGTCCATAATAGGATTATTAACAGCATAAAATTGTTTGAATGTGAATTCAACAACCTAATTTTACCCCTTTGTTTAGGTAGTTTTATTACTTTATTTTAAATGTAATCAATCTTATTCATTCAACTTTTTTTATTGTGTGTAAAATTTCTGTATGTATGATTTGTTTATTTATCTGATACACGTGTTTGTTTTATTCTGAGTTTAAAAGCGTCTATTGGCGAACCGGCCACTAGGTGGCAGTATAAGCCACAATTTTCCTGCAATCAAAAATAATAAGTCATTTAGAACTTACAGTAAAAATAAATAAATAAATAAATAGAAGTGGGTAGATTCACCTAAATTTGAATTCAAGTGTAGCATTACTTCAATATGCCATTAATCAAGTACAATTAAAATCCAAAAGCTGAACAAGAAGTAAAATGTACTTGGTACAAAGGCTGAGTGACCATAACATCTGCTTACATTTGCAGAACAATATGTATTAAAACAAACAGAAACAAAATGATGTGCAGATTCTGGTGTCTTACAATATAAAATGTAAAAAATGAGTAAATATTCCTAAATAACACGATGAGGTGGAAGAAAAGACATATTTTTTCACAACATAAAGTTTTTGATACCAATACTTAGAGAAGTAATAATAAATATAAGCTTGTGCATTGCAAATGATGTAAAGAGACACAATACTATTTGCTTTACCTCTAAATGGCTGACAGAAAAGGAATAAGAACAAAGTTCGTGTACAAACAAGAAGTGTCACTTTAACACAAAGTGCTTGTTCATTTCTCAGTGTGAAAAAATAAAAATAATTGGTTTGGTTTTTTTTTTAAGAAAAAGTGGACACACTTTTTCAGAATGATGCCTAAATTAAGAAAACCCTTCATCATAAATAAACTGGTGGTGATGTGATCCTTTTAATAATCCACCGTCGATTTCTTTCTGACATTCATAAGTCAAAAGGCAAAGGTCTGCTTTCATAGGATAAATTCTGGAGGGAAGAAGTCTTTGTTTAATTTGATCCTTTCTGACCTGAATCTGTCCATCTCGGGGTCTTCAGGTGGTCATGTGAAAGGTCAAAGGTCAGGGTGTCTGTTGCAGCAGAGATTCAGTTTTCCAGACAACAGCTGAGCAGAGAGGCTGCTGTACCGTCACACCGCTCTCCGAACTACAAACCAAACATTCCTGTCGAGCAAAACAATATTGAACACATCTTTAAATCTTTTTTATTATTATTCAGCCAGCTAACTTTAGCTGATTTGATTCTGTCACTGTTTTATTATTATTATTATTATTGCAAAATTTACAAAAACAGAATTTTGAATGAGCTGCAACTGTCAGATATTTTACAGGTGAAGGTAAAGAAACCAGTACAACAAACTGTTGAAAGTTAACACTTTGTTCTGGAAATCATTACTTTACTGGTGGAGTGATTTCGCACATGCATATTCAGATAACTAAGAATTTGAATTGTAACTTGAATTTGCCTGTCTTTAGTAGAGGGTTTTTTTTCTTACAATTCTTGAGATAAAGCTACAAAGTATGCATGTAATGTTCTTAAAATACTCACTTTAATGACCTTCAACATTTCACTGCAAAGTCTGAGATGGAGCTTTGGTTTCTTCTTCTTCTTTTTTCTCTTTGACAGGACATCCTTTTCTGGAATAATCTTGACTTTTTTGAAGCATGTCTGACTTCAGATTGTTTGAAAATGGTCTTACAGTCGCTCCACGTTAAAATATAGCAACAATTTCACTTTTTTGCACATATAATAAGTAATATGCATATGTATATGAACTGAAAAATGCTTTGAAAAACAAACCCTACCCTAACCCTAAAGTTGTTAAAAATGCACAAATTAGCCTTAATAACTCACATTTACTAAACAAGAGTCTTCTTTTATTACAAAACACAAATCAACGAAACCATAAATAATTTATAACAACCTTTTCTGAGAATCTGTACTCTTTATAAACTGTACAAAGATAATTCATAAAATACATTAATGCATTCCTAGCTTAATAATCAGACTAATTCAAAAGAAACAATAAATATTTGTGCTAATTGAACACAAAAATGTTGCCTAATGCTGACAGTATGGATAATTTAACACAGTATGAAGATGTTTGTTTTTAGAAAACATTCTGGGGGAAAAAATACATTTGATGACTCAAAAAGGTCTAAATTATATCTACTAAGGAAAAGTCTTTGGTTGCTACAGTTTACAAAATTTTATTTCATTTTTTGTTTAACCATGTAAAACAGGAAACAGCTTAGTTTGCACCTTTTGTTGAGGTTTTAGAAGAAAAATATATTTCTCTCACCTGGCGGTAAAAACAGGGATCCATTAACTGTCAGTAAAACATATTTTTAATGTAACAGATGATAAGAGTCACTGAATAAAGACACATGTAAGACTGGAAACTGTTGAAATGAATGGGAGGTATATCATGTAATACTGAATAAATAAAAACAAACTCCTCAGATAACTCTTGCTCCTCTTCTAATGTTTTCTGATCATTCTCCTGCCTTTAATTTGGACTTTGGAGTTGATTTAAAGAGATGTTTTTATGTTTCACTGGTTATTTGAGGACTGCAGCAACACAAACAAAAATAAAACAAAAGGCTGCTGGGGAAATCTAGAGAAAAATGCTGCTGATCTGTTTACTGTGCAGTTTGTTGTTGAGGTTTATCTTCTGATGTAGAAATATAACAGATTCAAAAATTCACAATATTCCCTCTGCATTATGAACTAAAACATGAAAATATTAAGTCATTTTTTTGTTACAAAGGTAGACATTGAAATAATTGGATAGAATTAGAATCTCTTTGATTCTCCAGGTTAACGCCCCACCTAAAAAAAAATCTGAATTGTCTTTAAAGTTAACTTTTCAACGTCTAAAGTGTCAGCTGATCTGTCGGCACAAAATCAATCCTTTGAGAAAATTGCACAAAATAAATCAAATGAGATGTTATTTGATCTGAAAAAGAGTTGCTAAGCAAATTTAAAGCCCAAGAAAAACATTATTTTTTCTTTAAATCGGAACTGAAACTCCTCATTTTTCTTCCAGAGAGAAAAATCTTTATGGACACAAAAAGTCCCGACAAAATGGTTTGACTTCAACTGTTCAATGTTCTCATGAAGTATTAATAGTAATATTTAAGGAAGAAAATAAAAGTGAGGTGTCTTGTAGTCCACTGTGAAAAACATCTTAAAACTGACATTGTAATACTGATAATTGTGGGGAAAAAAAGATTAATTTTATGTTATAAACACTATTTAGAAAAAAGAATTTCCTGCTATTGCTGAACTGAAATTGACCCCAGAACTGTCACTCATGTCTGAATGAACATTATTACTCATTTTATTATTCCTTCTATGTACAGTCTGAGCTACTTCACAATGTTCCCATCCTTATATGTAAAATATGGAGCATCACAGGGAAATGACATATTTAATGTTCTACCTGAGTATTAAGAGGTACACAAGAAATACTGTAAACCTTCAACAACACTTTCATTGTTTAGAGTACTATCAAAAGGAAATAAATAACAAGTAAAAAGCTCCACACTAGGCTAATGTTTGAATTGCAGAGCAAAATAAATGATATTCTTTGTACGGTTGTCTGAACAAAAGATTATATTAGACATATATCCTAAGACAAATTCAGGAGAAGCCTAGAAACATAAACAAATGTTTCAAGTCCTGAAACATCTGAAGTTCTTCTCCTCACCCAGGACTTGGTCCAAAACTGTTTGTCTTTTCACAGGTGAAAGAAAACTCAAAATTTCCTGCATCTTCCCAGTCAGTAGACAAGTCGAGGCACTACGAAGGCATCATGTTAAGGTAGAAACGTCTCTGGAGTCTTATCTGCCAAATCCAGTGTTCATGTTGCACATAGATCCACTTTTTAAAGGTGTGACCTTCACCAGTTGATGCCGATGTTCCATCAAGTTCTACAGGATCCAGAGGAGCCAGAAGGTTTGATGTCTGTGGTCCAGTCAGAACCACGAGGCTCCTGGACGCTGATCGGTGGTTAGGAGAGGATTGCAGGAACCCATCGTCTCCCACACTGGTTGTCCATGCTGGCCGAGCGTTTCCTGGCTGCTCTCCGGATGTCTTTGTATTTGTCGTCACATAGTCTGGAAATGGCCTTTGGAAAGAGGGGAACAATCCAGTAAGGATAAGAGAGTTTTGTTTTTGGAATAGCAGGACATACATTTCACTATAATAATCTTTCTGAGACACTGAGGTCATTTTGTAGAAATGTAATTAAGAATCAATTTTTTTCTGTCCAAATTCTGACAAAAAATTCACAGTGTTTTTTTCCAGTGGCCCGAATCGTCTTCTGTAACCTGTAGCCAATGAGACACCTACAGGTGAGGAAAGGTGTAAAGTTATGCAGTAAAACACACACACACACACACACACACACACGCACACGCACACGCACACACACATACACACTAACCACTGAACAAGATTCATTTGCACATTTTCTCCTTTCTATCCACATTGAATGTTTCTTGCTGAAAGTCCCAGTTTTATTGTGTAAGATGTCATGTCTTTCATTCCTCTAGAAATAATAATTCAAGATTTTTGCCTGTGACATTATAAAAATAAGTCATACTGAATAAATAACTTTAAATAAAACACATTGTCAAAGCATGCTTCTGCAAAAATAACCTCATTTAATAATTTAATCGTGCTCAATCTGTTTCCTAATAATAAATATCAGAATAACAAAAAAGAAAATCATTCTACAACAGACGTCAATGAAAACAACATATTTTCCTTGGTAAATCGTCACATGCCACATTTCCCACCTCTAACTTCTGGGCCTTTTCCCTGCTGAGCGGCTCCAGCGGGAAGCTCAGGTTGTTGGACTCGGACAGCGATCGCAGGTCGAAGTAATACTTGGCGTAGACGCTGGACGGAACGTTGATGTTGAACTGCAGCAGTTCCAGAAACTGGCGCTCCAGTTCATTCCTGGTTAAAAACGAAAAAAAACATACAACATTGATCTTATTCCTGAATTGGTAAATAATTGCTTCATTTTACTTGGTGTGATTTTGAGCTGTGGTGAGTTTTGCACATTTACAGAAAAAACAGATTCTTAAAGTTAGTATAATACTGCACTTCTTGCGTTTTATTATATTTACATCATCCAACTTATCCAGTCTGTGTCAGCAACATCTTCCAGAAACTTAAAGCTTGAAACTTGTCACTATTTAGTGATTGTTCTGCTTTCTTTGCCATTAAAGCCTCACAATGCTCTCGAATTTGGTGCTTTAAAATCCAACCAAAGCATGCAGGCAGAGCTGACTCACATGTCTTCCACAGTTATGTCCTTGAGGATCTGACAGTAGTCGACGTTCCAGACGGCCTGGTCATCCCAGACCTTCGAGGCCAGCAGAATGGCGCCCAGAACAATCCTTTTCCAGTTTCCAGGACAGATGTCAATCTCTGCGTAAGTGAGCAGCCTCTCCAGGTACACCTGCAGAACCAAATCAAAGCAAACAAGAATATTCTTTTACTCATGCAATTTCATAATTTTGCAAGTATTCATTCACTCTGTGCTCAATTCCTCCTTCTAACACTGCGAGCCGTTGCAAAAAGATGAACGCGCGTTTAATGCAAAGTAATTTTGTTTTACATTAAGAAACAAGTTGCGTTTGTTTGCAGTATGACCATAAATCCCACCAGTGTGACGATGGCACATTCAGCTGTGAGCTGAGCAGCGCTGAACAGGGTTCTGACGAAGCGGTAGATCTGCTTCTGCTCCGGGTCGTGCTGGTTGTAGTCCAGTGGAACCTCTGATTTCTGGAAGAAAGGACAGAAATGAGAAAAGGAAGTTATGTCTTCCAACTGTATTTTTCTTTCACTTATATCACATAAAATCTCAATTGAATTCACTAATTTATGGTTACAATGTTAGAAAACGTAAAAAAGTTAAAGTTATATGAACTTTTTTCATATCACAGCATTTTGTATTGCATCATGGAAATAAGCCCACAATCTAACGTTAACATGCAAACGATTAAAATCAAACAACTCACTGAGAGAGGATGCAGCTTTTCATCAAAGATATCCAACAGCATGCCTCCATTTGTGTCTCTGCATTTGGAAAAAAAATATTGATTCTGAAGTTTTGGGCTTCAATTCATGTTTAACTTAAGACATGTCTAGCAAAACAGAAAGTCCAAAAAAATAACACGCTGCAGATTCAGTTCAGTTTCAGAAATTTCAAGTGACAAAAAGAAGAAGCAATCCTTAATCTAAAATTTTACATCTCACTTGGAGCATTGATATAAAATTATCTTACTTTGAAAAGTATACAATCATGTCCCAACAGTGCAAAATAAACAAATCTAAGCATGAACAGTCTGCTAGCCATCAAGTGGACAGATGGTGCCTGTCAGGGTCCTCACCTGTTTTTTATATGGTAGTAAATTGCTAAAGCAACGCTGTGAAAGCAAAAGAAAAGAGAAAAGTCAAAGACTCGCTAGAAAACAGAAATATTTTTGCTATGAATGCAAAGTTTTCATGTTCCAACCATTTGATGGTATATTTGAGGTTGGGCTGGCTAACTGTGTTGTCGTCCAGGAAGATGGTTGAGCAGGAGCTGTATTTTCTCCTCAGACTGCCGTGCTACAAAAACACAGAGAGAGAGAGAGAGAGAGAGAGAGAGAGAGAGAAAGAGAGAGAGAGAGAGACTGGATTACAGCATTTTGTCTGACCCACATGAAGCTGACAGATTCTGGGAATGACAGTGATGTGCAACATCATATTTAACAGCAAGAGTTGCATTAAAAAGGATCAACAACTTAATTTAGCTTCTACTCTGCACTCACATTATTGATGAGGAGGCTCTTTCGTTTCTCTCGCACTGTAAAAATGGACAAAAATGAAAACAGAAAAATGATTTATGATTCTAACTCACTGCGAGCTGCAGTAAGCGACATGCAAAAGCCTAAAGTTTTCAACCTGCACAACATGCTGTTAGAACGGGAAGACAATCCAAAAGAAGAAATCAACACTGTTAAATGCAAATCACAAAAATGTTGCTCAAAGTGTCAGAAGCTGCAAATGAACATCAGCAGCGCAGCGAGAGGCTCTGGCCACTAGAGGGAGATGAAGTCCCAGTACTCACCATTCCTGTAAATCACATCTGAAAAATAGAAAAACCAACAAACTTAAACAACAACTCTTGAAAAGATGTTACAAACAGATTTATAACAAATGTTATTTTATTGATGCAGCAGAAGAAATAACAGCTGTTTCTGTTTTAAATAAAATCAACTGCATCATGTCAATAATTTTTGTGTAAACACAATACCACCAAAATCATATTTTTACTTAAGATCATTTTCCTGTGTAGAGATTACACTGGTGCAATGATACGTCTGCAATATTAAAACAATTTCAGTTTCAAAAATGTCTTGAATTTCTCTGTGAGTAGCCATCTGTTGAAAAGTCCACAAAAAACATTCCTTTAACTCTGAGGTTGTCAGAAATAAATTAAACTTCCGAAACCAGATAAAAATCATGTAATTGTTTAAATAAATTAATTAATATTTTCAGAAAAAAATTTTTTTTAAATGTCAGAATTATGAAAATCAATTAAACATGCATGTAAGATTGCATACTTTTGTACATTCAGGTATTTAATTAGCAGAAAAGTTTCCATAGAATGTTTTTGTTTAAAAGTGCCCTCTAGTGGACAGATTTGGAGATTTTCTGAAAAGTGACCAGCAGGAAGAAATTCTGTCTTCAAGACATGTTTAAAAAAAACAACAGAAAACAGCTTGGAAAACTACATGAGATGAATAATTTTCTATTTACAAATAGCCATTAAATTACCAATACCAGCTGCTTACAACTATTAAAGATCCACAACATGTTGATGAATGTCGTAGATTCTACCAGACAATTTCCACATTGATTTTCCTGAATCTTCCTGCAGCACGAGAAAAATATCACTCAGGAAAACAGGCTGCTTACCGTCATTATGAGATTTGCTCAAGAATATGGTGCTGGCCCGAGGATGGTCTGATGGGTTGCACTCCATGTTCAACTCTATAATAAAATAAAATAAACAGAGATTATCAACCTGAGATAAGTTAAGGACAATCATAAACATCTAAAACTCTATTTGCGTCTCCATTGTGGAGCAGAAAATTTATCCCACTTTTGGCTGAATTAACATCAGTAATGTTGAAATTATCAATACATGAAAGTGAGCAAACTTTGTGATTGTGATTAATATAGAGGAGAAACTGTTTACCAAAACTACAATAATATTCACAGCAATAACTTGAGATGCATTCTCAATAACTGATAATATCCAATATGAATATTGATCTCATGTTTAATCTCATTAAAACAGTGTCTTCTTTTATGACTCATTGGTTACGTTGAGGCCTAATTGCTGCTCTTGTTCTGTAACTGTTGCTATTTCAGAATCCATCCGGAAGCTCCCAGAGTTCACATGTCACCACTGACACACGACACTGATCACCTGAAGTGAACTTTAACGATGAACAGAACTGAAACCCGTCACCAGGAGAGCCGGCCGGCCTCGCTGCCTTCCTGCTCCTGAATAATGAACGGACAACAAGTCCTCCCTGCTCTGCAGAGACCAGCTCCGGTTCCATGCTGCAGTGCTTCCAACGTTCGTTCAAAACCGTCTTTGCAATCAAAATGTTTCTAAGCTGTGAATTGATAATGTTCTCGATGAGTGCTGCTGGAGTAATCTGCAGCACTTTCTCAAATGCTGCTATCAGTCACCATGTCCTTCTGCAAAAACAGATTAATCCCATTTATTTCCCAGGTCTTTTCTTTCTTTGGGGTTTAAAAGATTTTCTTATCTCAGTCAAGGAACAAAGGAGGAAAATCCTTTGTTTTCTTTAAGGTGCTTCAGAGAACAAAGACCTGAAAGCCAAGAGAAAAAAAAATCTAATTTACCAAAATGGGATGAAAGGTGCAGCCTTGACTCTTCAGCTCCATGTTTTCAGCTCATGTCTTTTCCATCTATTAAAAACCTGATTATTGGCTGAATGTCATTTTGAGACTTCTACCTTTACACAGAATTTGTGCTTTCGAGTGAAATGTTAATAGGTTTCTGCACTATTAATATGTAACTGTCAGTTTTTATTTGCAGTTTTATGACTGTATTTTCATTTTCCAGTGACTATATCCGCCATAATACAACCTCAATGCACTAATGCATTCATATGATTTCATTCATGGTGGTATTAATGATTTTTTCTTTATAAATTATGTATTTATATCTTATAAATTCTTTTAAAAACAAAAAAAGCATGCCAAACCTTTATTTGTTTTCGTTTAGATTGACCACAAAAGCTTCATTATAAGAAATATTTCAAAAACACTTTTTTGTTGTTCTATTATTTTAAAATATCAGAATTTTTCAGAAATATTTAGACAAGCCTACAGGTGATCAATAACAATACCTAGATTACAGTTTGAATAGTGATTTTTGTATTTTATTTTATGAAGTTATGCACATAATGTCTGAGATCTGCAGAGTTCTCTGCTGTGAATCTAAATAATCTCTGCATTACTGTTGGAATCCGCGGCGGCATGAACAATGCTTCGCTCCCATGCAGTCAGCCAACGTGTTTCCTGTTCAGTCATGCATGCTGATATTTAATGGTTTCATTTCGGAGGAGAAACTGGACCAATTTGAGTGATGCTAATGCTAAATGTGCAGTAACCAGCACAGCTGGGACCATTTATTCAGTAGCAATAATTCAGGAGAGGACAGCTGCCTGTGAAGGCACTGATAACATGCAACCTGCACACGAACATGTTTCCATTGATGGAGTCTAACAACACTAAGCAAACATTATCGACCTTTTTAAAAAGGTACATTTGGGAAAATTGTTTCTACAAGAACTGATACAAACATCCACTATAATTTACACTTTAAGGAAAATCTAACAGTTTTAAAATAATTTTCCCTCATCATATATATATTAAAACCAAATTAAATGTTAAAGTTGTATCTTGGTAAACAAAATCCGAATGCCTCTGGCTGAAATATTTAACAAAAAATAAAGAAATGCTAAGAATGCATGTCAACATGAAAGACAATACAAAGAATTGATTACAACTGATAAAGTTTATATATAAGTAAAAAAAATATCTAATTTCACATGTTCAATTAATTTCCAAGTATTTTTTGTCTGTCATATAATCATAAAAATAAAATCTGATACTATGAGTTCATAATATGTCAGTGTAAAAAGAAAAAGTCAAGTAAGAATGCTAATATATAAAAAATATATTTATAAACAGAGGATTTCTGACAATGAAATAAATTGCAGGCATAAAACTTGAGATGTTTTCAGAAGTTTTTGTTTGTCATGTAGGTTTTGCAGCTTTGGACACGTTTTACTCAAATGTGAGGCGACAAACGTCTCTGGATTGTAAAGGTTGCTGCCCTGGTCCAATATCTGGGGCGTCGACAATCTCCAGCTAATACCTGAGCAACATCCCCGACTCAGAGGCCGACTGGAGGATCTGTGCAGAGCAAAGCGCTTCCACCCTTCATACTGTACCTAAATAAGACAGCATCAGCTGATGGCTCAGAAAAACACAGTCAGCTTTGTGGAAAATAAGGCCGATCATATGACCACTTTGTCTCTTGTTCTCGCTGTCCCCATCCATCTTCCTCCTCCAGAGTTGGCGTCCATCTCTATCTAGAATGCTGTGTTTGTAATGCTAGTTTATCAGATTTTACTTTAAATCTTCCAGCCTGTTCGGCTCGGTCGGGTTCAGTGAGGCTTCAAGGCTTCAGCAAGCATTAGTTACTGTCAGAGACGATAAGCAACAAGACATGGCAGTTTGGGAAATATTCATGTTGAGTTTTATTGTTGTAAACTACACAGCAATTTTTTCCCCCTTGGTTTATTCAATTAAAGTTGTGATTAATTTTGTTTTCTGGAATCAAGATTGAAAAGCCTTCAGATGCAGAGTCACATGAGGACAAATTATCACTTATTTTAAACAGTTCTCATTTTCACATGACTTAATAATCTACAAGATAAATCTGCATTAAAGAAGCTACAGTCTGGTTACCAATATCAAAATATAGCAAGTAATAAGTTGCTGCACAGCCGAAAACACTCTAAAGGAAAGACACACATTACTCTGGTAAAAGTAAAGGTTTAAAAGCAAGTCTTAGCAAACTGTGACCTGTTACACAATAAACTAGGGACAATCCTGATTAATTAATCAGCGCATATTAAGCAGGTGTTGCTCAAAAAGAGCAACACCTGCTCTTTTTGCAGGTGTTAGAAATATAGATAATATTATACTCCATAAGTACAAGAGTTAGATGAGTAGAATAAAAAACTGGAGAACATAAACTGCAGTAGGAACTGGAGCAAATGCTTAACAGGAGAGTAGTAGGAAAAAGTGTTGGAGTAATTATAAGATCTGAATTCAGTCATTTAAAGGGTGGCCCAATACTTTTGTATGTATCCTTGTTTCTTTCACAAATAAAACTGTGCTTTAAAAGAGTAATGTCAGTGATAAATCTGTACTGTAAAAGGCGACTCATTCTCTACAGCGAATATCGTCGTTCTTCATTTTCTGTTTCTCCAAAGCAGCCGCAGCAGTTCAGCCTTAGAGGAGCTTTAAAATCTGAGCTCAGGGACACACTGCTGCAGCAATCACATGTCCGTAAAAATCACAGCATGCTACCGGGTCAGCACACAACGACCAGGCCTCTGGAACATAATAACTCTGTTGTTCAGTTGACATGGGTGTTTTTTATTGAAACATTATTTTAAAGGTAAACGCAACAAAACGACATAATGCCCACAAAAAGCAAAAAATCAAAATGCTGCGTTTGGCTTTATCAACATATCAGGTAATGTGTTTCCGTTATTAAAATGTAAAAATCTCTGGGTTTTTAAAATATTAAATATTGTGCAAATGTATCCCTGAAGGATTCCCATGACTCCCTGAACTCCATAATCCTCATGTGGCTGATTATCCGCCTAACGAACGACAGCTTGTCCAAACAGGACAGGATCGCTCCCAACTGTATATTCCCCTCAATCAGGGTGAACTATAGTGAAAAATCATGTGGTAGTAACAAAATGAACAAAAAGTTTGTTTATTTTCCAAACCAGGCCCAGTTTTCCTTCAGGTTATGAATTAAATGTTTAGAAGTAAAAAAATGACAGTTTCTTTTAACTGATCCTTAATAGTAAAGGACTATGTGCAACCACAGTTCATTTTTGTTCTGTTCTGTGATGTTACCTAAAGTAAAAGTCAAAATACCCTTTTGCTGCTTTTACAGGATATTTATAAGCAAAGTGTAAAAGTTTATGAATAGATAAAAATCTGAACATGAAGGGTTTGTTTGAAAGGGTTAAAAAAAACACTTTTTCTCTCAACAATGTGGTTGCACAACTTGGGTTTGAAAGATGGATCGAAATGAAGCACAAAATTTCTAGAACCAAGTCCGTTTGATAAATGAGAAGCTCCTCCAACTAACCATTCAGCACGGTAGTGGAAGCATTATGATTTGGAGAATCAGCACTTTGCTGGGACTGATAAAAATACAAATAGGTTGTTTTCTTGTCTGTTTTGCTCGAGGCTATTTAAGACGCTGACTTCACCCCATCCAGACTGCAACAAGGGAAAGAGACGGCGAGGTTGAAAAAAAAATTAGAGGAAATTTTAAATCTTAAAGCGGCAGCAGAGCTGGCTGAGGAGGAGAAGCAGCTCCTTCCCAAAGAAATGCATCATCGACTGTTTATACTTCTAAACTTAAGCAGAACTGATTTGTCCAATACCAACTAAAAGCACACACTTCCTTCATTGATTTGCAGATGCTGTAGTTTTAAAGTCCATTTAAGTGGCAATAAAAATAACTGTGAAAAGCCAGTTCACTGCTGTGAAGTAATGATGCTATCCTGTCATATTCAGTATTGTCGAGGTGAACTGCTCAATATGTCATACTGTTGATTTTAGGCCATATTGTTATGCCCTAGTATCAGTCCTGCACTCAAAAGTTATTCAAAATGTTTTAAATGGTTGCAGAACAACCTTATAAATTATTCACCAGAGCCAATTGTGTGGTATTATAAAGCAGTGACACCAAAATGCTACCGACTTCTTATTAATGCTGAAAAAGGAGCATGCGACGCCTTGAAAGCCGACTTGTAAGGCTTTTAAATTGAGGCGTGAATTTTTGGCGCTGGTTTCTCCCCGGAGGCCTCGTCTATCTGCTCCAACTGGATCCCAGCTGCCTCCCAGAGACTCCCTTTTTAAGAGGAGCTGCACATTTTAATAAAGCTGTAATCTCTGTCACATACTGTCAGTGAATTCATAACAGAGTGAGCACATTAGATACGCTCCGGTTTCAGTCACCGCTTCACTGAGACAGACTGCGTCTCAGCAGGGCTCATCTTTATCCCTCCCCTGAGGAGTCGGCCGACCCTTTCAATCATGTTACTGTGCAAATATTCATCAAATACATGTTTAATACACCAACAAATACCTCCAACTTACAATGCAATGGTGGAAGATTTCCAAGCAGAAAGAAAATCTTAACCTGGTGATAACAAAGCACTCAGGTTAACAGCTGCTACAAACAGCATGCAGGAAGTATGAGGTCTGATCAATACATGCTGATATTGTTCAAATAGCCTGATGTTTATGAACTCCATTATAAGGGGCTGATTGTTCTCATTGACGTTAGCAGTTCTGTTTCTGTTCTAGTGCAAAATAAAAACGCCTTTGAAAAGTTTAAACCTTAAACTAACATTTTTGACATCAATGTATGTTTGTAGGTATGACAAAAACTGTAAATGCAGTAGGCTACTTGTAAATGGGAAAATCAAATGCATTAATGCATTTTTCACATCTTTATTAATTTGATCAAATTGTGTATTTAAAATGAATTATCCACTATATTTTGAGATGCTGAATCTGTCTCTGGGTGCATAGACACTGGTAGATACTGCTGATCAGAATGGCTGTAATGTGATCCGAAGTAAACAACACAGAGCACAACGACTGCCACCGGAGAAAGAGACGTGTGCTCAGTGTAAAGCGGAAGATGTGGGTCGTTCTGTCAGTCCTTTACGGGATAAGAACACCTAAATGCTGGCATTGTACAGAAAATGTTCCAGATATTTTATGTTTCTCTGACAAATCTACTTTGGATCTTCCTGACCAACCACGTCTTCTCAGATGGGAATCTGCTCAGGTCACACCCTGGACAGTGTTCATGCACTCATAGCACTATTTAAAGTATTCAACTGTCCAAACAGTCATTTTCAAGGAGAACAAAAGCAAAACAAAAACAACTTGAATGAACACTTGTACATATTGCATCGTATTTTGTGACAATGCATTTAATACATTCAAACTGTACCAAATATGTATTTGTCGAGCTGGATTAACTTTCACTATCTGACAATAGTGTAATAGCAGTTTTAGGTTCCAGTGACCAGGATGCTAAAGCTCAGTGAGGCTAATGGAGACGTTTTCCAAACGTCCTGCAGCCCCGATCAGAGGCATTTAATGCTGAAGATAAAGAAAAATACTGTTTGGATAATATGAATAAGAGTCGATTGCAAGAACCAAAACATTGCATTTTCTTTTGAAAATAAGGAGTAGATTTCTGTTAGAAGCAGGAGGCCTCATACAGTTTCCATGTATATGAAATCACTGACTGCAAATAAGGCAATCCATTCAGCAGAGCATTTCCAATCCTGAATGGTTCAATTGTAAGGCATATTAGCATGTATCAGTGGAGGCTTAGGGTTGGAGGTGAGGGGGGTTGAACAGTTGCTGCTTCTATCAGGCACAAACTGAAAACAAAGGCCAACACAAAGAGTGTCCTGATCTAATCAGCATGTTTCTGCAACATCTCTATGTTCCGTGTGACAAACCTGCACTCATGGCGGCCATGTCGGTCTTTACTACAGGATGAGGAAGATATTTTTCTCCCTCTGGGGTTATTGAACAGATTTATTCATTTATTATTTCACATTTTGAAAACAGTGTGTTTTGCCTTTAAAAAAACAACTAATACTGATAGACATATAATGAATGCGTTGCTTTAATCTAATTGTTTGGAAACTGTTTTCATTTTATTTCCTGTATCCTATAATAATTATTCCACAATAAGCAATTAAACACAATTAATAGTGGCTCTAAAGAATCTGAGATACTAACAGAATTATTCTGCATAAATCATGGTATGGTTAGAAATGTACCGTCGATGTTTTCCCTGTCGCTGATGTGCTGTAGGTTGCACGCCGTCTCCTCCCTGCTCAGATCCGACTCCTGGAGGTACGGCTCCAGCCTGGAGTGCGCGTTTCTCCGCAGCTTGGGGCTGCCAGACACGCAGCAGGAGGTCGTGCTCCCCATTTCTCCTCCTGGTGTATGAAAACAAATAATCCTTTCCGCGCTGAAACAGGAGCTGAAGCGGCCCCGAGGAGCCCGTCATCCACACAGATCAACTGTGCGCTCGGGGCGCATCCTCAGCAGACCCGCTCAACCTTCAGCGTCCACGGAGAGGCTGTCACACGGTGCGGATGTGTCACTTCCACCCTCACAGTGATGGAGGCCAAATAACAAATCCACAGTCATTTGGATCACACGCATCGTGAGGCAGGACTCATCTTGTGACGCTGCAGGCGCACAGTGATGCGTGAATCCTGGACTCCTGCGACACAATTCAGTCTGCGCCGCGCAGTCAGGAAAAGCTGGCGGTTGTCACTGCGCTATTTAACAGCTTTTTACGGTTATGAACTGCTTTCAAAATAAAAGCATGTTTCCGTGCATATATGAGATGCGACGCTCCTGATTGCAGCAAAATACTAAATGTGACCTGCACTGCAAAGCTCGTTTTAAGCTCCTCATAGATTAGGACTAAAATAAATTGTAAATAAGGTGATTAACTTTTGTAAATGTCACTTTTCTAGTCAGATTTTTCACAGAGATTTTCAAGTTGACTTGCTTTCAGCCTCATTGTCAGAAGAGTTTCTCATGAAACTGAAAGATGTGGCTTGTTGGTAACAGTGGATCTTAAGGTCTTTATCCTCAATGCATGACTGACTCTGGCAAGTATAAAATTCTAGACTAGAGTTTAGCTTTGAGTGATTAAACCAGCAACCTTCTCCCCTGTAGAGTTAATCACCTCAAGATTTTTCCCCCAATTGAGCTGGTTCAGGCGGTAACCTCCTTCCTCACATTACAAGCCGTGGTTCTGCAGGCGTCACTCGACTTCATTGGTACTGAAGCTCACATCAAGATAGTATTACTGAGCAATACTTTAGGGATTATGTATCATGTTTATTTAGCTTATCATTTTTGTTTCAACATGGAATCCTTTGACTGGATAGATGCCATTGGTTTCAGACCAAATTGAAAGAGAAATACTGAGTCAGTACAACACTGGTAGGTAAGTCAACCAGTGTTGGGTTAGGCTTAGCCCTCTAAATGCCTCTAAATCTACTTTCCATCCCTGGTCTGATATTTCTGTCAACTGCTACAGCAACAACGCCTCCCGGTAACTATGTCCAGCCTGACTCCTCACAAGAAGCTGAAATAATCGGTCAATCTGTGTAGGTAACAAGACTGTCACTCAGTGTCTTTTAAGAATTGGGTTCTGGTTCTGACAGTAGAACATCCACCTCAAAATTTTTATTTTGTCAAAATTAGGATAAAACTTTGCAGTATTTGCAGAATCTTGGTCTAAAATATCCCTCCCAGTGTGTTTTGGCTGAAGACTCAGTGAGTTGCTGAACGTAGCTCTGAATAAGGACATGACTTTACTTGGCCTCTTTTCTACAGAACCATTTACTGGAGACAAGGACAAAGCCTTTGGACCAGAAGTGTTTTGCTTGTTCAATGGGACAGCAGCCTGTGAAAAAGCTGTTTGCCTGTCATTACAGACATTGTCATCTGAGTTTGACCTTCATTTCTCTTTCCATTCTCTATTTGTTTTGGCCTGTATTCCAAGAAGCTTAAACTCCAGGACAGAGGGTCAACTTTCATGCAGTTTAGCGAGGAAATTAGTCACATTGTTTGCTCTTTGTGGAGTCAAATGTCACATGTACTCATGCATTTCTTTAAATGTTTGGCTCTGGCATCAAATTTAAGAATTGCTTTTAATTTATAACACTGGAGGTGGCCAGAAAAGATGAGAATGCAGGGAAATAGTAGGTTCTATACTGAAATAATTTCAGTTTGAGAATATTTATTGGGATTACGGTGCAGATTTTTAGAGGACTTTCGATCTTTTGTTTTGCTGGACTGATTCAGGGAGAAGTCAACATGTAAACTTCAAACAGCTTTGAATACAGACATACTTTTTTCTTTGAGCTTTATGCAGGTTTACAACTCTCGGCTGGCTGACAAGTTTCAAGCTACTTGCCATCTTAAGGGGTCTGAATCACATGGACAATGATTTCAAGTGTTTATTTCAGTAAAATGAAAATATGGACAAAAGGTTGAAATTGAGACAGTAACATTTTAACTAAATGTTTCAGAGCTAAAGCTGTGAAACAACCTCAACTATTTTCTTTTACCTTCAGAATGACAAAATACACTTGAGATTTCATCTTTACAGCCCACAAACAGTTCAACATTGAGCAATATAACTTTATTTAGAAGTTTATAACACAAACTATAAGCCCACAATAACTATCTGCTTCAAGTCACGATGCAACAAAATGTGTTCAAAGGGAAACATGAGGAATATATCTCGCATATTTTTTTCACTTCCTGGAATAAATTGCACTTCAGAGTTCACGGTGACTGAAATTAACCAAACAAGTCAAACAAGGGCTTGTTTTTCTTTTTTGTGCAGAACTGACACACATATATATATATATATATATATATATATATATATATATATATATATATATATATATATATATATATATATATATATATATATATATATATATATATATATATATATTTACCTCAAAGTGTAGATAGATCAACTAAAAGTTAGAAACTGAACCTAAGCATTATTTGTTTTGAGTTTAGAGATTTCAGCAGAATCTCCAGTGATGTAAATGTAAATTCCAGCCAGCAGCGGCTCAGTGAATCTGGTCTGGACTCTGTGGATCAGAGTCATGGATTCAGAGACGCTGTAGAAGGACAGAATACCTGCTGTGTGATCCAGGTACACTCCCACTCTGGAGGAAACTGGACCTGAGATGGAGGTCCAGTCATTGTTGTGACCAAATTTATAACCATCTTGGGAACAATTTAATGCCCAAGATTTGTCAGTATATCCAAATCCACATTTTTTCCCACGTCCTGCTCTACTGATATTCTTATATGCGACTGCAATAAAAGCGCCTCTCCCTCTTCTCTCCACCTCCCAGTAACAACGTCCAGTCAGACTCTCTTTACTCAGAACCTGATAACATCCAGTGAATCTGTCTGGGTGACTAAAATAAGACTGGATTTTACTCGTTCTGGTCACCTTCCTGTTCCCCTCTCATAGTAACAGCTCTGCATTTGCTGTGTTTGGATCCAGAGTGATTTCACATGAATACCTCAAGAAATCAGCTCTGCTCTTCCACCTCAGTGACCATCAGTGAGATGTTTGTCCATGAGTCTCTCAGGACGTCCTGTAGTTTGTCTCTGAGCTCTGACACAGCTGCTGCCACGTCCTCAAAGTGTCTCAGAGGACGGATGTTGATGCTGGATGAGTGTGTGGATTCACTGAGTGCTGGCAGTGAGGGGTAGTTGAGGAGAAACTGGTTGTGATCCTCTGTGTGTGAGAGCTGCTCCAGCTCAGCGTCTTTCCTCTTCAGCTCAGTGATCTCCTGCTGCAGCTTCTCCTCAACATCTTTGACTCGACTCACTTCAGTTTCCTGCTGGGATCTGATCTGCTGCTTCACATCAGAGCTTCTTTCCTGGAGGAGACGGATCAGCTGGGTGAAGATCTCCTCACTGTCCTCCACTGTTTTTATCAGCAGAGTGATTGATGGCCTTCACCTCCTGTTGAAGCAGCTTCACATCTTTCTCTCTGTCCTGGATTCTCTGCTGGATGTTTCCTCGTCTCTCCTCCAGCTCTCTCTGCCTCTCAGCTCTTCCTGCTGCAGCTGACACTGTGTCATGGCCTTTATGTTCATCCACAGAGCAGAGATAACAGATACACTTCTGATCAGTGCGGCAGAACATCTTCATCACCTCATCATGCTTAGAGCAGATGTTCTCCTGCAGGTTCTTGTTCGGCTCCACCAGCTTGTGTTTCATCAAAGGAGCCACATCATAATGAGGCTGAAGGTGTTTCTCACAATAAGAGGCCAGACAGAATAAACAGGACTTGATGGCTTTAAGTTTTCTTCCAGTGCAGAAATCACAGGCCACATCTTCAGGTCCAGCATAGCAGTGATCAGCAGGAGCAGCTTGGAGCCCAGTCTTCTTCAGCTCTTCTATTAAGTCAGCTAACATGATGTTTTTCTCCAACACAGGCCTTGGAACAAAGGTTTTCCTGCACTGAGGGCAGCTGTAGATTTCTTTCTGATCCTCTTTATCCCAGAAGCTTTCAATACAGTTCATACAGTAGCTGTGTCCACAGGTAGTAGTCACCGGATCCTTCTGTAGATCCAAACAGATCGAACAGGAAAATTTTAGCCGGTAAGGCTGATTTTCTTGTTGCGCCATTTCTCTCCTCAGTGTGACTGTCAAACACTTTCAGTTTCTCTGAAACAGAAACTCACTGCGCTCTGAAGAGGCTGTAGCAAAGAGATATGGAGGAGGGGCAAAGAGTGTTTGGATTTACAGACAAGGTGAGTTAATGAGTAATTTTTGCTTCAGTGGAAGAAATGAGACGAAAAAAGATCAGTTGTCTTGTTGTTTTCTGGATTTTCTTGAATCATCTAAAATCAAACACAAATTCTTCCAGGACTCTTTGGCCATCAGAACTGTAATCTTTACATGAAAAAACACTTGTAAATCATATTTAATGTCTGTTACCAGTTAGTCAGTTGCATCATGTGTTTGTTATTGAATACCTTAAATGCCTGGACTAGTGACAGTAGTGTTTCATTGCATTTTAAAAATACATCAACAGTTTTGTCCAAAAGTTCAAAGAAGAGATAGTTGTCATTAACAAGAAAAAGGGAACAAAACGATTTAGAAAGACTAAATATTCCTCGTAACATCAAGTTATGATTAAATTGTCTTGTATGTTAACTTTTACACTTTATCACAAGCAAACTGAGCCGGTTTGCTCACAATCAAACAAGCAAAACTTAAATATCTAATTAAATCAAGTAGACATTATTTGTTAACCCCAACAAATACATAATCAAAGCATCACAACTATTGAACAATATCCAATAGAATAACCAAATGGGAAACTATGAAGGTTCATGGCGTACTTCATAGTTTAGTCACCAGAGGCCGCCAAAGAGTGTTTAAACCTCACAAATTGGGGCCTTTAACAATGACGATGTGGTTGGGAAAAGTCATGCATGGACATGAGGTCCTCTTTACCAATTTCTTAAACTGGAGATGTGAGTGAAAAGGAGCCAAAGACCTGGTGTTGTAAGACAATCAAAGGGTTGTGGATTACTTGTAGATATATACCATTTGTACTTATGTCCAAATTGTTTTGCATTCATCTTAAAATAATATTAACCTGAAACTGCTTGCCTTGGAGTCAAAAGAGACCATATTCAAATAAACTGGAATGATAACGTCATTCCAGTTTGAGATAA